CCAGCACTCTTAGAATGTATTTTCCAGTGCAAGTGTAAACTATAAACTTAAACTCTAGAAATTTAAACATACCCTCTCCCAGATGATCCAAAAAACCAACTCCCAGTGTACTCTTTCCTGCAAATAATAAATAAATTTCCTCACACCAATCCTACCTACTCAGGAGGCTGAGATCTGAGGATCACGGTCCAAAGCCGTCTGGGCAGGAAAGTCCATGAGACACTTATCTCCAATAAACCATCAGAAAACCAGAAGTGGCGCTGTGGCTCACATAGTAGAGCGCTAGCCTTGAGCTGAAGAGCTGAGGGACAGTGCCCAGGCCCAGAGTTCAAGCCCCATGACTGAAAAAATAAAAAATAAAAAAAGCTTATTTACTTTGGGTAAAGTTGTCTGTTGGGCTCAATTTTCGAACAAACGCAGTTTCAGACAGGTTCATTTCCTTTGCGATGTTTTGATATGTGTCATTCTCCAGTTCCTTCATGAAAACACAAGGAGCAAAACATTATATGCTTAAAAGAAAACCCAAGTTACATACTTGGTAGCTGTGTGTTTGTTTTGTGTTATTTAAGTGCTAGGAATGGAACCCAGGTTCTTTTTTGTTGTTGTTGTTTTTTTGTTTTGGGTCTGGTCGTGGGGCCTGAATTCTGGGCCTGGGTGCTGTCCCTCAGCTCTTCAGCTCAAGGCTAGCACTCTACCACTTGAGCCACAGTGCCACTTCCGGCTTTTTTTTTCTGCTTATGTGGTGCTGAGGAATCGAACCCAGGGCCTCATGAATGCAAGGCAAGCGCTCTACCACTGAGCCACCTTCCCAGCCCCCAGGTTCTTGTACATGCTAACAACTTTGATATGTTTTTATTTTTTAGGACAGGGTCTCACTATGTCACCTAGCCTGGCCTTGAACTCACTCTATCGCCAGAGCTAACTCTGAACTCACAATCTTCCTGTCTCAGCTCTCCAGTGCTGGGATTCCAGGTGTGCAACACCACACTTGATGGAGGTATGTACATTTTGACAAGAAGCGCTATAGAGTTTTGATAAGGTCTCGCCATGGATCTAGAAAAGAGGTCAGATTTTGCTGAGTTGCTCAAGAAAATGTGGGTACAGAACTTTGCATTGGGACAGTGTGATTGGTAGTCATGAACTCACTTCTGTTCTCTTAGTGAATCAGGGATTAAGGTATGATAACTTATTACTCTATAGTTCTGTTAACACATATGCAAACACAAATGCTGAGTCATGTTTGTTTGCTTTTCTGAATTTCAGTGTCTGGACACTGAGCTTCTATCACCTGATGACCCCAAAGATCCAAGAAGCAGAGTAAACTTTTAAAATGCTTCCATCTTGTGGCAGTTTAGAAATATGGCAATATAAACACGACAGCCCCTTTCAGTCCCTGTCCCTCTGCTGGACAAGACTCCAGCAAAAAGGAAAAAGAACTGATGTAGAAAGTTCTAAAATCCACCCAGGAAGGACTGCAAGCATCCTGAAGCAGCCGAATTTCCCATTGTGAAGCTATGCCCAGACAGTGTGGGATTTAAACCAAGGAACTGAGTGAACATAATCATTCAAAAGGGGGACAAAGATATTAAATGGAGACCTGGAAAACTATAACGAGATTCTTGACAAACAATTCCATCAGTTTTCAACAACATTCAGCAGGAAGCTGTGCTTTGCAGATTGTTCCAAAGAAAGTTCACAATTCAGAAGCTGGGCACAGGTGGCCCAAGCCTATAATCCTATTTGCTCAAAAGCCTGGGATCTGAGGATCATGGTTTGAATCCAGCCTGAGTAAACAAAATTTGAGAGACACTTATCTCCAGTTAACCACCAATTAACCAGAAGTGGAGCTGTGGCTCAAGTGGGAGAGCACCAGGCTTGATCAAAAAAGCTAAGGGAGAGAATCCTGATCCTGAGTTGAAGCCCTAGTACTAGCAGAAAGGAAGGGGAGGGGAGGGAGAGAAGGAGAGGGAAGAGGAAAAAGGAGGGAAGGGGGAGAGGGATGAGAAGAAGGGAGAAAGAAGGGAGGGGAAGGAAAGGGATAAGTCTGCTTGTTAATCATTCTCTCACTAATCCTCCCAAACTCTCATTACTGGGTAAAGTTCCTAAAGAAACTTCAGGACTTGGAATCAGGTTTATTATTTTTCATTTATCTTTCCAAGTTTTTAAAATTACTGGTGAAGTCTATTAACTTTATTGCCATCTAATTTTATAAAAGGAAAATTGAGCTGCAAGCTTGCCTAATGAAAGCAAGCCAGGGAAGATAAGGGAAGGACTTTTGATCACCATTTTCCTGCTCCCCCTGCAGGGAGAGAGGAAGCCTTGCAAGGATGTAGTTAATAACACTGACCCAACTCAGTGACACCGCAGCAGGTCTGTATGTGCCTGCACACTGGAATCAAAGGAGCTTTTAAACCCAATGCTGCCTGGTGCGCATGCCCAGATTTGTACTGGTCTAGGATGTGGCCTGGCACATGACATTTTAATGCACCTGGTGTGGACAAGTTGAGAAACATTGTGCTCAAAGGCGCTAATGGTTGTTATGGACAACATCATCTGTATGACTTATTTAAGAGCATCAATTATTTATTGTCTTCCTTCTTCTCTTTTCCTTTTTTTTTCTCTTTCTTTCTTTGGAAGGGAGGTTATTGTTGTTTTAGCTTTCTGAATTTTTTTTTTTTTTTTTGGTCATGGGGCTTGAACGCTGGACCTGGGTGCTGTCCCTCAGCTCTTCAGCTCAAAGCTAGAACTCTACCGCTTGAGCCACAGCACCACTCCCCGTTTTCTGAGTGGTTAATGGGAGATAAGAGTCTCAGGGACTTTCCTGCTTTGAACACAATCCTCAGATCTCAGCCTCCTGAGTAGCTACGATTACAGGCATGAGCCACCACACCCAGCTAAAATTAGATACTTTGTTAGCTGAGTTCTCTATATCTCAGAACTCAATTACTTCTACCTTTCTACTTGATTACTTAGTACTTTGCACAGTGTCTCCTTTTCTTGGTTCTGAGAATTTCTAAATGTCAGTGCTATAAAGTTAAAGATAGCTACCTAAAATAAGATACAGCAAAAGTAATTTCAGCCATGACTAGTCACATAAAACTCACCTAATTTCATTCCCCCAATGTTTGTTTGGCTTTAATTAAATGAACCCCAGTGGCCAAAAGGAGCCCTGTGAGGGCAGGGCTTACTTAGGAGAGCACCTGCTTAGGAAATGCCAGGCCCTGAGTTCAAACCCCAGTCAAAACAAAGAAAACAATCAGAAAACTAGCTATTCCTTTATAATTGCCCCAGTTCTTCTTCATGTTTCTGGAATGAATCTAGAGATTCACATGCTTATCAGATAATCTGATCATGAGGACTGGGAATATGGCTAATTGGTAAAGTGCTTGCCTAGCATACATGAAGCCCTGGGTTCCATTTCTCAGTACCACATAAGCAGAAACAGCTGGAAGTGGCACTATGGCTCAAGTGGTAGAGTGCTAGCCTTGAGCAAAAAGAAGCTTAAGGACAATACCCAGGCCCTGAGTTTAAGTCCTAGGACTCCCCCTCCCCCTCCAAAATAATATGGAGCTGGGTGCTGGTGGCACACATTTGTAATCCTAACTACTCAGGAGGCTGAGATCTGAGAATGGTGGTTCAAGGCCAGCCTGGGCAGGAAAGTCTGTGAGACTCTTATCTCCAATAAACCACTGGAAAACCGGAAGTGGTGCTGTGGCTCAAGTGGTAGAGCACTGGCCTTGAGCTGCAGTGCTGAGGGACAGTACCCAGGCCCAGAGTTCAAGCTCACCACCGACATAATTAATTAATTACTTAATCAATAATAATTTGGTCATGACCAACTTGAAGATATACCACCCCTGATGCCAGTACAAAGAACACAAACCAGGGGCTGGGAAGGTGGCTCAATGGTAGAGCACTTGCCTTGAGTGCATGAGGCCCTGGGTTCGATTCCTCAGCACCACATAAGCAGAAAAAGCCGGAAGTGGCACTGTGGCTCAAGTGGCAGAACACTAGCCTCGAGTTGAAGAGCTGAGGGACAGCACCCAGGCTCAGAGTTCATTCCCCACGACTGACCAAAAAGAAGAAGAAGAACATAAACTGACAAAAAAAGCAAAAGAAGATGAAGATGAAGACAAAGAAGAAGAGGAAGAAGTAAAACCAAAGACCTCAACAAACTTGGTCCTACAGGACTGTCCAATTTCAGTAGTGTACTTGAAGCTGGAGTACTTACATTTTCCAGGAGGCAGACAGCTGCAGGGTTCCCACAAAATGCCCTTGCTGTGAATGCGTCTGCAATGAAAATCGGGAGCTTCATCTTCCTCACTGCAGTTTTTCACGAGGTCTCACAATTGCCAGTGTTCTGCTCTACTTCTTGTTATGGCAAAAAATGAGAAAGTTAATGTTTTACTCAGTGTAGTGCAGCAATGAACAGGTCCAAGATACAAAGTCAAGCAATTATACTAAAACACCAACATGGAAAGGCTCTACATTGCGTTTGTTTTAAAATACTGGCTGAATGGAATGAGTTTGTCAAGTTTATATGAGCTTTTCATACCAAACCAAGAACTCAGCCTACTCACAATTATTTTCTTAGTTTTACCCTCTCTCCCTCCCTCCCTTTCCTCCTTATTTCCTTCCTCTCTTTCTTTGCCCCTCCTGGTGCTTGAACTCTGGGCCTAGGTGCTGTCCTTTAGCATTTCCACTCAGGGCTGGCACTTTACCACTTGAGTCACAGCTCCATTTCTGTTTTTTTGGGTGGTTAATTGGAGATATGAGTCTCATGGACTTTGCTGGCTAGCTTTGAACTGTGATCCTCAGATCTCAGCCTACTCAATCATTAGGATGATAGGAGTGAGCCACCTGCACCCTGCTTCTAATTGTAAAAATCTTGAAAAGTCAAAGTACTGACCCCTAACCCACACAAACAGAAAATAACATTTGTGTTTTAAATATAGGTTTTTAATCAGATTCTTGGGCTAACATACATTAGTTGTACAAACAAGATCTTTTCTAAATATATATTTTCTTTTCTTTAGGTAGTTGTATTTATTTTTCTGTAGGTAGTTGTACAAAAGTGCTGCTCTTCAACAGAGCAGTTTATGAATACATTCTCACCCCTCTCACCCACCAAAGAAGATTCTGTTGTGACATTTCCACACATGCTTATAACGTAACCTGGTCAACCACATGTCTTCTACCCCTCTCCCCATCCCACTCCCCCTTTCCAGAACAATCTCAACAGGCTTCATTGTTGTATTTTTATACAAACTGACTGTGTTCATCTTTGCTGCTATTCCTTCTGGTACACACCCCCCTCACCACTTTCCTGTCATTCCTGTTTTCATTTTGCATTAGTTGTACTAAGTTGCTCTCAACCATGATGTTTCAGGTGTGTACATTCCATACCTTACTAAGAAAAATATTGCTTTCTCCCTGTCCATCCTCCAAAACCCTTACAGAAAAATGTTTTCATGTTTTTGTTTTCATTGTTTTGTGCCACCCCCTCACTCCATCATGGGGCTTTTTAGTCAAGGCTAGTGCTCTATTACTTTGAGCCACAGCTCCACTTCCAGTTTTCTGGTGGTTAATTTGAGACAAGAGTCTCATGGACTTTCCTGCCTGGGCTGACTTCAAACCGGGATCCTCAGACCTCAGCCTCCTGAGTAGCTAGGATTACAGGTGTGAGCCACCAGCTTTTGGCTTATTTGGAAATTGTAACAGTTATGATTACTTGGTGCTAGATTCCAAAGCTAGTTTTGTAGGGGCGAGAAGAATGTCACAGAAAGTTTGGTCCCTGAACTGTGTGCTAATTCACAAATAATGACAGCAGGATTTTAGAAAAAAAGGAAAATAAGTTTTATTGACTTGTCACACATAGGAAGAAAACATCACACTAAATATCAAAAGCTGCCTCCCTTCCCTGTCCTTTACGGATTGAGGATTTTTAAGCAAAAGTCCAAGAAGTGAGTTCTAAGTGTTCAGAAACCATGACTAGAAGCCATGACTCAGTGCCGGATGATGATCTGAGGAGATCACTTATCCCGATTACTGGTGCCAGTTTTCCACGTTGTATGTCTTGTTGACGTTACTTTCTTACTTTCCTGTGTCAGCAAGCTAGGGAGCCAAAAAACTGTTAATCTTGAGTTCTAATCTTGAATTCCCCCCACATGGAAGGAAAGGCAGAGAGAGAGAAAATTGTCAATTAAATGTAAATCATCACAAAAAGCAGGCTGGTTAGTAAAGCAAGTTAGTTTCTAGACTAAAACTACAACCATTTAAATGTCTCTTTTAAAATTTTCCTGCTGGCATTTTTTTCCCCTCCTATTTCCATGGAAACAAGGGGCGTTATAATCATCTGTCCGCTTCCTGCTGAAGTTGGGTGACGTCAGGGAAATTTTCTGAAAAGTATATATACTTTGTCCTTGCCAGAATCTCTGTGTCTTTTAAAGCCCCACTGTGGTTTTGCATATAAGTAGAGTATACTGAATGGCCAGGCAGGAAAGTATATATATATATTGACTATAACCCACATGATGGTCATCTCAAAATGCAAGATAACTAATGAAACAGATTAGATACCATTTGGGATCTAGAGAAAAAGACTGGAAAATAGGCCTGTCAACCTAGACCCCGGCTGTCTAAAGTGGATACCTGATACTCTCATGCTTGCTTCAACCAAGTAGCTTTCTGTCGGATCTTTTCTATACTGGTTTCCACCAGAGAAGAAGTATTGATATAAGTACAACAGGACATGTTAGCAACTGCACACACTCCCCCTTGCTCAGCCTGCATGTAATCTAGGGCCATTCGATTATCCAGCATGACTTTGGCAAGAGAGTCCAAGGAGTGATGTAGATCAGAAAGGGATAAAGCTGTTTCATTGGCTATAGTTATCAGAGTTTGGGAAAGGTTCTGAAGTACCCATTGATGGGCAGCCACTCCCCACCAGGGTAAAAAGGAATGGCCAAAATTATACCATCTGGTACCTGGTACCTCTGCTACCTCTCTTGGTAAATCACGAGTCACTCTAGTCAAAAGCTTCAAAGGGCTTGCCCAATGAGAAGATTCATTTACAGAATGAATGGAGAATGGTGTAATGAGGGTACCCAGCAGACACTGAGTAGGGGTGGAAAAGTTTCTTAGGCAGTTTGTTGCCCAGGGGTGTCCACTAATTTGACAGACAAACACAAATCCTGAGGGGGCACAGAAAACCATTTCATCTTTAAAATACTTCAATGGATCTCTGGTGTGGAAGTATTCCCCCACTCGAAACCCTGTCCTTTCTATCCAAGGATGATTCTGGAAGGAGTAATCAGCTACTACTTTAAACTCCTCTGCAGAAAACCGAGTGTTTTTCTGGATACACATGGGTAACTGTCCTGCCTTGGGAGGGGAGATCATTTCAAAATACTTGGGAATCCGAGTTTCCTTGCCATTGTCATCAATGTGGGTTATATAGACGGCATTAGCTGCGATAAGTGGAAGAGTTAGACAGGGGACAGGGGACGAACCCTCGACTGGATAGTGTACTATCCGTACCCGGTACATAATAGTACGGGCCCTGAGGTCCAGTGTTGGTGTCCACACCCCATCTGGAACCTGAGTGAAATTAGTGACAGGGTGGACAAGAGGGTCACTATGATCTACGACAGCGCGGGCTCTCGGGACACAGATCCAACAGTCTACTGCCTGCATGGAGGAAGCCAGTGACTGAGCAATACGGACCATCGAGTTGTCCTTCCATCCTGCAGAGAGGATACAAAGACAGAAACAAATTAGTAGGCTTCTGAGCACATTCATTGTCCGTTTCTTCTCAACGGAAGCCGTTGGTATTCCAGTGGCTGGCTTTCCACTAGAGTTCTAGTAATGGCAGGATGTCTCCGTCTGATCTTCTTGGCTTGTGTGGCGCATTCACAGCTGGATCCTGGGAGCTTCAGAGAGGTGTGAGCTGCCAGAGGCACTTTGGAAGTGCCTTTCTACTCTTCTTCTAGGTGTTCCGGCCCCTGCTCTTTCCAAGTGTTCAGAAGGACTTAAAGCTCTTGTCTTGAAGGCAGGAAGAGGAATCTTCAGCTGGGCTGGTGACCTGGAAGAAGCAAACTTATGGGTAGCAGTCAGTATTGGATTTATTGGTGGTATATACCGCTTTACCTTAAGTTTCTTCTTTTTGTTTATATTTTCACCATTTTTTTCAAGGGGCCAGAAGAGTTCACCAAATACTATTTCATGGGGGCTTAATAACTTCTCCATAAGTGGAGAAAGGTAACTGGCAATACCTTGTCCCATTTTAAATGGGTTTCTTGACATTGTTTTGGCTATTGTCCTCTTGAGCATATGATCCATTCTTTCAACTTGTCCAGTAGATTGAGGGCTCTATGATGCATGTAATTGTCATCTGATGTCTAAGGCTTTACTTGCTGGTTGGCTAACTTCTGCTATGATGAAAAGTCCCTTGTCATTCTGGGTTGAAGGTGAGATTCCGTACCTTATTTATTTGGTCATAGGGCTTGAACTTGGAGTCTGGGGGATGTCCCTGAGCATTTTTGCTCAAGGCTAGCACTCTACCACTTGGAGCCATATCTCCACTTTGGTATTCTGGTGGATAGTTGGTGGTAAAAGTCTCATGGACTTTCCTGCCTGGGCTGGCTTTGAACTGAAATCCTTAGATTTCAGCCTCCTGAGTAGCTAAAATTACAGGTGTGAGACATCAGTGCCCAGCTTTTTTTTTTTTTTTTTAATGTAAGGCCTTTGTCACCTTTGATACTTTCTCAGTTTGGGTAGAGTAGACTTTGGCTTACCCAGAAAAGGTATCAACTAGTATCAATAGACATTTGAAGTTGTCAGTATTCTGTAGCACTAAGGTCTTCTTTCAGTCTTTAAAAGGATGTTCTCCCACGTATTTGGGTTCCCTTCTCTAAAAGTCTTTTAGTTCTACCTTACAATTATTCCAAGTGCGTGAGTGATAGTTTTGAGTGACTGGTCATTCAGACTGTTATAGTTGAGGTTCCTATTATTAATAAGGTTGGGTGAGTTCTACTAATACATCATGACCACAATGTATTCCCTCATGCAAATGTTTTACTAGTTGCAGGACTGGTGCCTAGGGCACGAGTATAGACATGTTCCTGAATTCTAATCTTGGTTCCATTTACCCTGTAAATGCAGGGTAATTATAAATCTCCCTTGTCCAAAGAGCTTAGTCTCTAAGCCTACCCCTGGGCATGTCTGGAAACACTAGTACTAGCTTTCTGGTAGTCTAAGTTTGTTTGTTTTGGCTATAGACAACTGACAGTTGATTCCTGCTTGTCCATAGTGGTCATTTGGCTGCTGTGATAAAACAGGCCATTCATTAATAAACACCAGTTTGTT